AAATAAAATATATCCTTAAAATTAATTTCACCTTTTACTTTTTAATATATCTGCTAGAAAATTTGGTAATATATATATATATATGACTGATGCTAAATATTATTGAACAATAATGATTTGCAGCCATTAAATACATATTCTTTATAAGGTATATTTGTATTAACATGTACTATGATATATTGAAATTTGATATCCATGTATTCTCTTTTTTCCACAGGAAAGAGTTCTTAGGATTTGGAAAATGCATTTCCTCTCAGAAGCCTCCATTGCTCTTTTGCATGACTGCTTTTGGTGGTGGTTTCTCCATAAATTTAAGGTAAATGATATTTTTTACACTTTTCTCATGAGTTGACTTGTAGCACACTTAATTTTTCAGTAGAGGTTCACACTAAAATTTTTTTTCCTGGATATTTTCTCAGAGATTCACTTTTACATGTTAAAAATTTTGTCTAATGTCTCCTTTTTCACAGGAGTTAAGACTTTATTATGGATTTCCAAGTTCCAAATCTTCATTAGTCAGAAAAAGATTAATGAAATCAAACACTGTAGTGAATAATAAAGTTGTATCTTTACATAAGTATGTGATGGTAACACTAAACAAAGCCTGCTGCAAATCAGCAACACTGGAGAAGGTTCAATTTGGAAAAAAGTACAGATCAAATAGAGAAAAGGTCTTGTCATGATTCAGAAAGGTGAACTTTTTAGCTAGGATTAAAAAGATAAAGGAGGGGATGAATCTGAAAAACAATAAGAGAATGGAAATGCGTAGTACATGAGATAGTATTTGACTAGAAGAATTTCAGTAAGGATATTGAATACTTTTAATGTTTTAAAAACTTGCCCATGGCTCCCCAAAAAGAAATAAGTAGCTGGAAAGTGCATCATGCCAAATCATACAATAGCAAAAACTCCATAACCCACGAAGTCACAATATTTTTTTAAACTCATCCTACAAAGATTTAAAAGCAGTTAATATTACCAGGGATGAAGGAAGTAATCACATAACAAAGTGATCAGTTCACTAAGATGACAGAACAATCCTTAACATTTATGCACTTCATAAAATGCCTCAAAACACATTTTATAAACTCTTTTAACACTTCAGGAGAAATAGACAGATCCGTCAGTATAGTTCAAAATTTCAGGGCCTCATTCTCAGGAACTAGTAGACAATAAACAGAATTACAGAAAATCAGAAATGACACAGAAGACTTCAGCAACACTGGCGAGCAGCTTGACCTCACATTTCTGAGGCATCCGTTCTGTCTTAATATGTTCTGTGTTGCTAAAACAAAACACTACAGAATAGGTAGTGTATGTGAACAAATATCTGATGGGAAGTCCCAGATCCAGGGGCCAGCATCTGATAAAGGCCTTCTCGCTGAGTCTCCCATGCTGTAAAGCAGAGAGAAAGAAGGGAGTAAAGAAGAGAGGGAGATTATGAAAGAGAGGAGGTCAGCTCACTCCCATGATAATAGCAGTAATTCGGTGGTGCATCCCAAGACCCAAAAGCCTCCCATTAAGTCTTATCCCAACATCAACATGTTGGGGATCAGGTTTCCAACACATGAACTCCCACTGGGGGAGCATATTTAAACCTCAACATCTCTCAACAACAGCAGAATACATATCTTTTTCAAGTACACATTAAATATTTACCAACATACACTGTATTCTAAACTAGGAAAACATCCTAATAAGTTTCTAATAATTCAAGCCATACTCATGCAAAGTATGTGTTCAGACAAAATGGTGGTAATGGTTAATCTTGCCTGTGAATTTGCTCAGCTTGGGAGCTACTTAGGAGGTTAGTAAAGCACATTTGTAGGTATGTATGGGTGGGTCACAAGGGTTTGACCTTGGGAACTATATCTAGTCTCTGCCCCTCTCCCCTCTGGATATTATCCTGCTCCCTGTTTCCCAGATGCCATGAATGGAACAGCTTTCTTTTTGTTACTATGATGTTTCTACCTTGGAACCAGCTGATCATGGACTGGAACCTCTGAAACCATGAGCAGAATGAACTTCTCCTCCTTTAAGTTGCAGGGGTCAAGTGTTTTGTCCCAGCAACAGGAAAGCTGACCAATACAGTGGCATTGCATTATAAATGAAAAGGTGGGAGATATATGGAGAAATCTCTATCTAGAACTAGCACACTTATAATAATGACATGTCAAATGAGAAATTATTTGGAACTGAATGAAAATGAAAACACAAACTGAAGTTTGTGGGATGTAATTGAAGCAATATTAAAAAGTTACATCAATATTAAAATGCCTGTATTTGGTGAAAAAAAGAAAAAGTTCTAAAAAACTATGATTACAGCTCCTACCTTAATGAAGTAGAAAAGAACAAATGAAACCTAAAGCAGTCAGAAAAAAGGAAGTAATAATGATCAAAGTGAAAGTTAATACAAATAAAAACAGAAAACAAGAAATTTGAAAAAAAAATAATGTTCTTTGAGAATTATTCAAACAAGGTAGTGGAAGAAGAATTTGAAGTCTGTATTTTACTAAGAGTAACCGGAACAGAAATAAAACCCAAGTACACTTCGGCACTTCTTAATTGATTCAAGCCCCCAAAGGCTTAACAAAGGAGGCACACCTGTTGCCAAGCACAAATAATGTGTACCTCGGTTTCTATAACCGTCTTCATTACGTCCAGCTCTCCAACAGGAATCAAAAGACACATGAGAAATGCATGCTTCTATTTTCTATTGTAGTATTAACTTTATTGCATTTTATTTCTAAGCCTGACAGGAAAGATCAAGATCGCCTATTTGATAGAATTGCAGAAAGTTATGTGACACTTTTCATGAGCATACCTATCAGTAGAAAAGATCCATTCCTTCAGGTAAAAGCAGAAATCAACATTGTGCTGATTATATTTTTTAATTCTTAAAATTATATTTAGGATGAAAAATAATTATTCTAACACATATGGGAATATATGTTGCTTTGGGGATCAAAGGTATCAGATGTAAATAGTGGTGATATTTTAGAAGTTACGTTCTCACTATCACCTTGCAGAATATTGTATTCTGTTAACTCAGAGTCTCACAGATCCTTCTTAGTGGTGAAGGCATTCTTTTTGAAGCTATCAGTGTACTCTGTGTTTATTTTGTCTTTGTTCTGTTTTCCTACAAAATGAGCTACCATTTTCCTTTAACTTTTTAATGAATCTTTTGACCCATTTCAGTCTGACTGTGTTATACTTAAGAACTAAAAACCTGTTACACTAAAGTAGAGTGCATGAAATTATGAATCATATGCTTATTTTGCTTTTCTGTTGTTATTCTAAGTAATGAATAAGACTGATTAAAGTAATATGTAAATATTTTGTAATTTGTGAATGTTTTCATGGCTAAGGCATAGTTAAAATATCAAAATATCCTTTGTAATGAAGATATAGATAAACCTAAATCACAAATTTGACAAATGTTCAGCCTCGACCAATTTACCATCACATATGGAAAGTGTTGTAAAGGGAGCTCAGTAGTAGACTGAGAATGAAAGAGACTTGGCTTCATGTTTGAACACTAATACTAATAGCATAGGTGACCTTGATAAACCACTCAATCTCTAAAGTTCATAGCTAGGTGGTTGGTTAGAGCCATGATTCTTCAATTTTTCTCTTGTGCAGTGATGGCATTTTGAAATATAAACTAGGATTTTCTCCTCTAACGTATTATTGAAATTGGTTTTTCTTATTTTCGGGAAAAAGTTGCTTAGAAATTTTACAATTAAATTACCTAGAGGTAACATGAGCAGCTGTTACTCCTACTCACATTCTTTATGCCAGTCTGTCCTTTTGTGGATCTTGCATTAATGTGTATTAACTGAATGTGCCTGACCTCCTTACATAGTTTGGTTAAATCAATCATGCTTTAATACTGGGCCCTTAGTAAAAGGATAAGAGGCTTGTTTAATGTGAATGAAGAAGGAAATAGCAGGACCATTGCATATGCCCGTTTCTCTCATTCCTGGTCCTACTGTTATGATCCAGTGTTCTCTCTTGGGATGGTTGTGTCTTTTATTTTATGTTTGTATGTATGTTTGTATTGTGGTACTGGAGGTCAAGCCTAGGGCCTTCACACTAAGTTACACTGCAGCCTTTTTTACATGATTTTTTAAATTTGAGAAAGAGTCTCACTAAATCTCAGTGTTGCCCAGGCTGGGCTCCAACTTGAGATTCTTCTGCCTCAATTTCCCAGCGGGATGTGTCTTTTAACGGATAACGTGATTATGACATTTCTCAACTCACGACCCGACTTTTTCTGGATTTAGTATTGGCGGCTTTTTCCAAGGGGAATTTAGAAGTTGTATAAGGGGATTCAAAGCCTCATCTGAGAATCTTTTCAAAGGCACACATGTTAGTAATTGTACTCCTTGACCTGTACTCAGCCTTCTTGTAATGCTTTTTCCTGCTTGGGTTTTCAGGCCAGGCCAGCTTCCTACATGTTGTCTGTCTTCTGTAAGCTGTTTAAATAGAGACAGGGCCTCATCTCTTACTGATTCATTTACATTATGTTTAACTCATTCAAGTAAGCAAGGATTTCATTATTCTAGATTCAGCTGATTTATCTGAGGAAGAGAAAATTTTAATGTTTAAAGATAAAAATATTATCCTCACTTTTTACACATTAATATGAACCTGCAGATATTTACTGTGGTGTTTGATTCCCGTTCTTCCTGTGTACACAGTGATACTCCTTTACAAATTTTCCAAGCACATTGATGCTTTGGTCTCCTTTTCCTTTAGTCTCCACAAGGTAGAATGTTCACAAAAGACTTCAGAAATTCCTCCTGTTCAAGCTGAAGCACGTACCCATAATCTCAGCACTCTTGGAGGCTGAGGCAGGAGGCCTCAAGTTTGAACCCAGACTGTGCAACTTAGTGACTTAGTGAGACCCTGGGTGTGTTCAATCCCCAGTACCACAAAAAGAAAAAATATTTTCTTGTTATTGTTGATACAGTTTTGTAGTCCCCAAATATAGTATCTGGTCATATCTGGTAGTAGGATGTTGATGATTCAATAATGCTAAGTATGTCAGCGTATTAGAGTCCTCTCCTTTTCCACACACATCTCTGCTCCCAAAAACATGGAAGTCTTAAAAGAAACACAATTTATCAGCAGTCTGAGCACAACTGGATTAGGTAAATGTATCACTTCCTTATTGTTGCTATAACAAATTTTGAGAAATTAGTTGTTTAAAGAAGCAGAAATTAATTCCCTTAGTTATGAAGGCCAGAAGTCTAAAATGACTCTTTCAGAACTCAAACCAAGGTGTCAGCAAGGCTGTTTTCTGAGGAGGCCCCAGGAGAGAATCCACCCTTCACCACTCCTGTCTTCCGGCGCCCGCCACACCCTTTTGTTTATCAGTGTACCGGTCCAGTCTCCGCCTCTCCAGTCACACTGCCTGCCCCTCTTCTTTGCCGAATTCCTTTCAGCCTCTCTCTTCTAAGGACACTGGGATTACATTTTGAGTCCACTTGGGAATCCAAGTTAATTTGCCCCAAAGTCTTTAATCATACCTGCAAAGCCCTTTTGCCGTGGAAAGTGACATTTTCAGAATCCAGAGACTAGAACATGTTTATCTTCTGGATGATTATTCAGTCCCCCACAGTAAGCTTTCAGGACCCCTCCAGTTCTAAAATTCTGTACAATTAAGGGTTTAATGTGTGATTGTAAGTACTGATCTGAATGCAGAATACCAAAACAGTGATATAATTTTGCCTTTAATATACAATTATGATATCCATCTATTGTTTAGTCACTCCTGAGAGGAGCTTGCTTAAAAATTTGAAAGCCTGTGGGATACTAGTAGTGCCATGTATTTGGTGAGATCTGATTATGATTTTAACATTTAAACCATACTGATTACAATATGTAAGCCCAACTACACAAGCTCTGATTATTTAAAAATATTTTTGACCCATATACATTTTCTTAAAGAGGCTAAGAGTAACAAGGTTAAATGAAATAAAGGGCTAATCATGAAACTATCTTAATTGTCACTTTATCTTAAACTCAAGTTTTTTCCACAAAATGCCAGTAATTATATAGACTTGATTTTTGATTTTTTTTGTTCATGTCCCTTGTGGTTACAAAGAATAATAAAATGATTAAGTGCAAGCTATTAGAAATATATACATTTTCAAAGTAATAATTTCTCAGATAATTAAGATATATAAAATATAAATTAATCTAATATGACTCCGTTTTGTAGGTATATCCTGATTGTTTGACACAAGCTATCTATGCAACATTCTTGGAAGCATTTCCAGAATCTAGTAACCTCTTTAATGATCAATTTAAAGAAGATCTAGGAAATAACATTTTTCTTTGGTTGTCAGGTATGAATATATGACTTAAGTACTAATTATTTTGTTTCCTAAAATTATGGAATTGGAGTATTTAGTTTACTGCATTCAAAATATTGGTAGTTTTTATACACTGATATAGACATATCAATGTCTATGTTTTTAAAAAGTGCTTATTCTAAAAATGGTTATCAAGATTAACTAGTTATTAACTTTAGAAGCCAAATAATTTTATAAGCAGTGAAACTGTAGAAAACTGTATTGTCACAGAATTAAAATCAATATATATGCAGGAGTATGTATTATATGCAGAAGACAAATATTTTAAGCTGCTATGAAGAGCAGAAAAATTTTGGACAGGTCAGTGATGAGTTGAATTGTGTTCCCCTCCAAATTTATATGTTGAAATCCTGTTCCCTATTGTACCTTATAATGTGACTGCATTTGAAGATGAGACCTTTAAAGAAATAATCAAGGTTAATAAGTGAGGTCATATGGGTGGATTAAATACAGTGAGCATCTCCATGGGGGTGGGGATAGAGACAGATGTGAACAGGTGGTAAAGTCGGAGCTATCCATCATCCTGCTGCCACCACCACCAAGGAAAACAATTAGCTACCCATGAATGAAAATACTCTAGCACGGGCCCAAGACTCCAATTAGGAATCCACGGCAGCAGAGTGGAGCAAAAATAGAATAACCACAAAGAAATTATCACTGAGATATTAGCAAATATGAACTCTGGAGATGGCCAGGAATAAAGGGAGTGGAGGCACTCAGGACCAGGTGTGTGGCGGGCACCACTGTGGTCCCCGGTGCCCTGCCCCACGAAGGACCCTGACAGTCTTCGCTGTGGAGGACTTCAGAGGCCTCACAGCGGCCGCCAACTCCCTGTAGCTCCCACAGTGATTGTGCCTTAGAGTTCATCAAAAAAGACCTCAGCAGCTTGCTGCACAGAGGACTCTGGTGGTTTTTCCACAATGGATTTAACCAACAGCCAGTGCTGTGTGGATCTGCTGAAGAGAGAGATCCTGCTGTGCTCCTGCTTCATGGAAGAATCACAATTGTGCTGGCCTGGGACCACCACACCCCAGCCTCACGCAGGGACCAGATGTTGGAGCTGCTGCCTCTCTGTGCATACCTGCACTGTAGAACTTCCTGCTGTGGCAGCCGTATGCGTGCCCACATCTCATACAGCAAAGCCACCACAGTGAGCCAGCCTACATCCTGGACCTCAGAGCCGCTGCCCACTGTGAGCTCCATTATCTGGCTCTCTGGTCACTCCACACTGCCGTGGCAAGTGCATCTGCAACCCGGACTCCAGAGCAACAGCAGTCTGCAGACTGGCAGACCCTCAGGCAGACAGCCACATCTAGGCTACCAGAGCTATGGCCACAGTGGGAGTACCCAGGCCCCAAACCTCAAGGATGCTGATGCTTTGATGCTTGCAAAGTGCATTTCTCTCCTCCTAGTGCTCCAAAAGTGCCCACACCTCACATACCACTACCAGTGCTGTAGCAGGGGCACTAGCACCACTACTGTGCTCCTTCCTGGGGCCTCAGTCCCTCCGCATATAGCCGTGCCACTGTTCCCCAGACCCGGGGAACGTGTGTACCCATCCTCCAGGCCCTGGCTCCATGGCTGCTGTGCAGCAGGCACTGTGCACAAGCTACCCCGGCACCAGGAGAGATCTTCTGATGTGTGACTTCCATGGGAGAGAAAGCCGCAGCAGTCACCACCTCTGCAGAGCTAACAGCCCTCACAACTGCGGAAGACAGCAGCAACCTCAGCCACTGAGGACCGCGCAGTCCTCACCGCGCAGTGGGGCTCAGCTCCGTGGACGGGCTGCACATAGATCGGGCTGCTGGTCCCCCCCAGAGCCAGAGCACTGCGCTTCACCTCCCTGGCATTTCACAGCCCCATCAATGACATTCCTTACCCACTGAGACCAGGCTGTAACATCCGGGCTCCAGCAAATGCACAGACTTCAACACAAGGCAAAATATAAATATATACATGAATAGCTGCGATGACTGTATTGCTGATGTCTGACGGTGTACTGAAATGAACAGTTAATGCTTACAATGTTATGTTCTGATTGACTTTGCATGCTTGTGTCTGGTGGGCTGAGCAACTGATTGGAAGGTAACAATATGCAATGGAATTACAATGGTGAGCTCCTACCATCTTGTCTAGTGAAACTCTGTATTATGCTAATGTTTTATCAAAGAATTATTTTCTTATTCTCTTTAATGGTTTGAGCAGTCTTTCATTCTTACATCTGGTAATCTGAGCAATGTAGTTGAAGATAGCAATATGTAATGTGACAACCACTGTTGACTCGTATTATTTTGTCTTGAGACCCTGTATCCCTTTGAATGTTCCTGCTTTGATTTGTTTATGTTCGTGATACTCGTATGCTGCTACTGTTCTATTTTGTTTGTTTGTTTGTTTCTCATTTACTACTCTCTTCAAAATAAAAAAAAAGTGGTGATCACTGTATCTAAAGATACTTGAAAAATTCTAATTCAGTGGTGAAATCTGACAAATCAACCTCAATAAACACTGATCACTGCGAAAATATTGGCTACATTGACGAGTATATCAAAGTGTAGTAATACTGATAATAACAATACCAGCTCATGTTCTTATAATGCTTTTCCATTTACTGAACACTTTAATATACATTTGAATTAACTCTGAAGAACCCAAAAGGATTTATATAATTCTTGTTTTAAGACTGAGAGTACAGATTTTTAGAATGACTGAACAATTCAGCTAATCCTACTGAGGTTAAAGGGAACAAGAGTGGTATTTATTTGTTGGAAAGGTAAAACATGTAAATCATAAATGTTTTGACACATTAAAAATTTCTTCAGCTAAAGGTACATTTTATGTTAACAGGTCTGAAACCTCAGAAAGGCTTTTGGACCCACTGGAAGCTAGATGACCTCTCTTCAACCACCATACACGGGAGCCGGAAGGCACGTGCAAAATCAATACAGGAGAGGATCAGAAGAAGCCAAGAGCGCATATCAGCTAGTAAGTGCATTGCTCGGAAACAGCAGAAAGGGAGAAGCCGCGGCTGAGGGTGTTAGGTTGTTTATTAGTCATCACTTTCTAGCAGTTCTTTTGGTGAGGATCTTTCAATAACATTTGATTTTTAGGTTGTTATAATAGTGGTATGTGCTTCAATCCTTTCCCTATTTGCCTTTTACAGTATTTCATACTGATTTTTAGGAGCTTTGTGTTTCTGTGGACACTACAGATATTCTCACTTCTAGTGGTATTGCTAACTAGATAATAATGTGTTTTTGGTTTTTTTGGGTTTTTTTGTTTGTTTGTTTGCTTAGTTTTTTGGTTTTTTTCCGGTACTGGGAATCGAACTCATGACGTTGCGCTTGCCAGGCAGGCGCTGTGCCGCTGAGCTAAATCCCCAGCCCCTAATGTGTTTTGATAATAGGTAAGTTTAACATTTTTATTCAGAACATTTAAATTATGTTTGCTTTATAGTTTCAGCTTTGTGGCATTTTTGTCAAGACTTAACCTAGCATAAAAATACCTGCCTGCTTCTTTTTTCTTTTTCTTTATCTCTATATTTAATTTAATTCTTCAGTCCATCTGGAATTTATTTTGCTATAAAGAGTATGATTATTTTACTATATGATGTTTTCTTCTAATGGCTCATTTATTAAATCATCCACCAACAGACCACTTGAAATATCAATTTACTTGGATATATTTTTGTATTCTCTCCTGTTCCTTGAGCTACATGCCAAATTTCCATACTAGGGCTAAACTCCTTAATTACTTTTCACTGATAAGCTTTATAAGGAAAACTTACTTTTCTCCTGTTTATGCTGTATCTCCAGTGCCAAGCATAGATCTGATGCTCATTTCTATGCTCATTTCTGACCAACTAAATCCAAATCTGGGGTATCTTTTAAAGCTCCTCTTGTGATTTCAATGTGTAAGCAAAGTGAAAATCACCAGTGCACAAGGCGTCACTTTTCCAATACGTTCCTTGAGGTAGGCCAGGGAAGAAGAGGAAATAAGCTATTCCTAAACCTCTTTTTTAGTTAATTTAAGATTCTGAAATTATTTAATGCCTTAATTGCTGCTTTTTCAGACTTGGGCACTTTGAATTTAAAGAGTCACTATTCAAGCTTGATTTTCCCCACTGTTGTTTTAAAATTATCTTATGTGATTTCTATTGGTAGTAGTTACATGAAATTCTTGTTTGCTAATGTCAGTGTTAGTGATTTTCTAAGTTTTCATACATATTTGCTATTCGGGGGTCTTTTTTAGCATTTGGAGCAGAAGGAGAGGTTATCCACTACCTTGACCTACTTTTACACATCTATTTTTACTTCTGACCCTTATATGTGAATTAGTACTTGAGCAAATACAAAATTAACACATCTTAGGGACTTTTAATTTTTATTAAAATGTAACTTGCAGGAAAGTGATACGATAACATAAGGAACTCTCGTGTATACTTTACTCAACACTTACTTGCATTTTGTCCCACTTTTATAATTTTCTCTCTTCTTTTTTTCATATCTGTATTAAAGCTATGATTTTCCTAAGCAATCATTTAGCTATTCTCTACAAATTTAGATATAATACATTTTATCATTTAATTCAAAATATTTTCTACTTTCCATAACTTCTACTTCAACCTAGAGGTTATTTAGACGAATGTTGTGTAATTTCCGAATATTTGGGGATCTTATCTGGATAGTTTATAATTATATTGATTTCTAATTTTAAAGCCATTATGTTTCAAGAACATGCACTGTACAGCCTTCTGCAACTTATCTGTACTGAGAATCATTTTACAGTCCAGCACGTAGTCTATGAGGGTGACCATCCCCTGTGTCTTGTTAAGGATGCATATCTGCAGTTGTTTTATAAATCTCAACTCAAAAAGTGTTTTGAAAGTGCTATTCAAATCTGTATCAAGGGTCTGCAGACTGTAGCCTGTCGGTCCTATCTGGCCTGTAGCATGTCTGTGCACATCCTATGAGCTTAGAATTGTTTTTATATATCTTAAGCATTGTGAAACAAAGAATATGCCCCAGTGACTATGTGGGACCTGAATGTCTTAAAATACTGTCTGGCCCCTTACAGGAAAAGTTTGCTAACCCTAGTTCCGTGTCTTTTCTTATATTTCACTTAGTCATTCTGTTACTGGGAGAGAATTTAAAACTATCATTGTGGAATTATCTAGTTCTCCTTGTAATTCTGTTGTTTTTGCTTTATGCATTTTAAGTTATTAGACAAATACACATGTAATATGAAACTTTTCCTTTAATCATTACATATGCTCCCTTTTTATCTGTGGAATTCTCCTCTCCTTGAGTTCTTTTTTGTCAGATCTTAAATGGCCACTTGAGATTTCTTATGCTTATGGTTTTCATGGTGTGTCTTTTCCCATCATTTTATTTACACCCAGTTTGCATCTTTCTATTTAGTGTGTACTTCTTGCAAACAGTCTTGACTGAGTCTTGTTTTTATTCTGACAGTATATTGATTATCACTGGAGGGATATTTTATTTTTTATACTTAATATTAAGTATATTCAATATTTAGTATTTTATTTTAATTCCTCTATTAAGTGTTTACCTATAGGTATCTTTGAAGCTGTTTCAATGATTACAAATTGCATCCTTAAATTATCAGAATATTACCTAGCTAACATGCTCCTGTTTCACTTAAAACGTAGGAACTTGGACAACACAGTCACCTGTACTCCCCGATCTTTTCGCTGTTGTGTCATAGATGCCTCTTAGATCCAAATGAGTCGCCGTCTCACATCACGTACTGCTGTGATCTTCATTTTAAATAATTGCATGGCTTTTTCACTTTTACCAAGGTCTAATTGATATATAAACTGCATATACTTAAAGTTAGAACTTAATGAGTTCTGACATATGTATAAAGAAGCAAGTAAAAAAAAATCACAACTTCTAAGATGAGAAACATACAGTATCTGTCGCTTTCAAAAGTCCTCATGGTTCTTTTTAAAATTTCCTCCCTCCTAGCTAATCTCAAGGTGATCAGTCACGTGATTTTTGTCACTATAATTAGTTTGCATTGTCTAGAGTTTCGTATAGAATCACACAATGTGTGCTTTTGGGGGGCAGACATTTTCTCCATGTAATTATTTTGAGATTCATTCGTTACTGCATGTGGTAATAGTCTGCTCCTTTGTACTGCTAAGGAGTGGTTCATAGAAAGAACACAAACCTGCTGTGTTCCAGGATTTAGCTATTAGCAATAAGGCTCTTGTAAATATTCAGTACAAGTCTCTCTATAGACACAGTGTTTTCGTTCCACTTATTAAATACCTGTTAGTGGAATGGCTGAGTGATATGGTCCAAGACCGTACAACATTCTAAGAAATGGCAAATCTCATCCAAAACTTCACCTTCCTTCCGGGATACAAGTCACTCCACTTCCTCACTAACATTTGGCATAGTCAGTTTGAGCCATTCTTCCCAACCCAGCAGGACCACTGGGTTCTACTTAGATTTTCATTCCTTCCACTGTATACTGAAAATTTATTTTAGACAAAAACCTGAGGTAACAGAAGAGCACTGTCCTGTGCTGCCGGTGGTTCAACCTCGTGAAAACCACTGTTTTGGGTTTTTTGTTCAGTGTTTTTAGTGACGACAGAAGAGAAAATCCAGCCCCCATTACTTCATCATAGCTAAAAGTCGAAGTGACTAGAAGACTTAAAAATAATCTTCTGTATTTGTTCACGTATTTACCATTCCTGTCTCTTTGTTCCTAAGTGTAAATCAGAGTGTCCATCTGATGTCATTTCTCTTCAGTTTGAAATATACTGCCTCTTGACAGTTCTAATAGCTCAGGTCTGCTAGGGATGACTTTACTCATCTGTGCATTTCAAAATATTTGCATGTACCTTTCTTTTTGAAGGACATTTTTGTTGGATATTGAAATCTAGGTTTACTATTTATTTTTTTCCGGCAAGATAATTCATTCTCTCTCTCTCTGCCTCTGTCTCTCTCTCTCTCTCTGTCTGTCTGTCTGTCTGTCTGTCTGTCTCTCTCTCTCTCTCTCTCTCTCTCTCTCTCTTTCTTTCTCTCTCTCCCCTTTGCAGTGCTGGGGATTGAGTCCAGGAATACTCTACCACTGAGCTACATTCCTAGCCCCTTTTTTTGGAAGCACAATCCCACTAACCCGCTCAGTCTGGCCTCTAACTTGTGGTCTTCCTGCCTCCATCTCCCAAGTGGCCAGGATTACAAGTGCACACCACAGCACCCAACCTGATGTGTATTATTTCTAATAAGAATTCAAAACATTGTTCCACTGTGATCTAAGGTCATCAGATTTCACCTATAAAAGCCAGATGGTAAATATTTTAATCCTTGTTGGATATGTATGGTTTCTGGGATGTAGTAGCTTTTTACAATTCTAATATGAAAATTATTCTTAGGTTGCAAACTACATGAAAAGTACATTGCAGGATGGGTTGAATCTGAAGGCTGTAGTTTTCTGATCCCTGTTCTATATAATGTGACTTTTTTTAATCTCTGTAAGTAATGCTAAGATTTTTTTTTCTGTATTTTAGGTGTTGAATGATTTATTTGGTATGTGCTGATATACTATGTATGTTCTTTAACCTGTGGTTTGGTGCTTTTGACCAGACTGGAGAAATTTCCCTATCATTTACTCCAGTGTATCATTCTGTTCTGTTCTTTTTCCTCTGGGACTTCAGTTGAACATATATTGCTTAGTATTGTCAAACTTATGAGAACTTTGGTTTTTTCTTTCTATGTTCCATAGATGGTCTCAAACTCCAAACAGTGTGTCTTTGGTGGCAGTCGCCCTCAGAAATCTCCATGTAGCACTTTTAGCTCCAGTTGTGTCCTTCCACTTGCATTATGCCTTCCCACACCACTTAGGAAGAACTCATGCACCACTGATTCGTTGTTGGACCAGGCATGTAATGTGCAGATTTGGAGCTTTCTCCTCCTCACACTTTCCTTTCCACAGTTCCCATCACCCTTCAG